TCAGCAGTTTGGAAACCACCAGGCACTCTGAGAAGAAAGACGAGGCTCTCTATTCTTGTAAAGAGTTACAGTCTTGGAAACTCACAGGGGCAGCTCTACAGGGACTCTGTGAGTCAAACTGGACTCAATGGCAGTGGGTTCAGTTTTTTTATTTGGTTCTTGATTTATTTAGTGTGGAGAAGCCGTATAAAACTTGACTGTTACTCATGTAAAATATAAAGCTGAAAATCCCATATTTGAGTAAGTAGTATCCTTGGATAGCATGTGCCATAAATCAATACTGTATGAGATAAAATTTATTGTGCCAACCTGGCCAATGAACACAGGTGGGGTTAATTGAAGGGTGGAGGGCTAAATGGCTCAGTGAGCCTCACCTTTCCAGCTCTCTGGTCTCTTGCTTTCTGGCGGTCGGACCAAGGTGCAGCTGCCTTACCCAGTTCCCAGCTTCAGCTGGCAAGGCTCACTTCCTGCAAGGCATCCCCGAGGAGAAGCCCCATGAACCTGTCCTATCCCGATGCAGCCCTGGGTGCAGGAGCAGCCGGGTGAAGACCCCTGCCAGTGCTGAGATGCTTACACATTCACTGATTCAGGTTTCCTCCTGTAATTGGCATTACTGAGTGTGTTTTGTGAGATGGAGGAGGATTTTGTGGCTTGGGGTCGGACATATGGGCTAATGTTGGACTTGTTGGGTTGGGCATCACTGGGTTGGGATGTTTTCTTGATGTGCACTTACCTGTTAGATAAAACTCTCTATTATACATATAAGTTTCTGTGGACTTGTTTCTCTAATGTACCCAGACTGACACACTGTACAGCTTGGAAAAACTTTTCCCACAGTTGGAAAAAGATTTTTAGTACCAACAAAGCAGACAATGCACTCTAAGATCTACAGAATTTCACAAGCTTACAACAAGACAAAAACTAACATCCCTCTGAGGAGGCGGGCAAAAGCCCTGAACAGCCAATTCACAAAGGAGAACAATTGAAAGGCACACAAGGAACACACAAGGAAATGCTCCGTGGGAGTCTGTATGAGTCAGAATGGAGTCCGTGGAAAAACAGAAGAAAGAATCTAACTGAGGAGGTTGGTTAGGTTCTCAACTGCTAACCAAAAAGTTGGTGATTCAGTCCCAACTCCATCCAGAAGTACCTCAGAAGAAAGGCCCCTTTGGCTTGGTGATCTGGGGAAATCCTGTGGAGGGGAGGTCCACACTGTAAATGTGGTTATTACCATGAGTTGGAGTCAACATAACAGCAACTGGTTTAAGTTTGGGGGTCTTAGGTTTCTTTGTTTATTTTTAGTGCACTATTATCCTGCTTTTTAGAAAGGTGAGCTCTTTTCCAAAATTGTAGCACTACTTATTTATTACTTTATAAGAGATTATTTCTTTTATAGGTGATGTCATGAGAACTTCAAAAATCTTCATAAGAGAAGGAAGACTATTACCCTTGAAGGAATATGGGCGAGTAAAGGGAGATTTTTGGCAGCAGTGAAAGCAGAGGAAATGTAAAGTTAAAGTCCAGCATCAACTCCCACAGGAGAACTCCCAGTTCCTCGACTAGCTCTTCTTTGTTCCAGAGTTAAGAGCAGTATGCTCATGGGGGGGCCCAAAGGCATTCAGCAAGTTAGGACTGATGTCTGTAAGTACTGAATACATGTTACACTTTCTAATCACAATGCTGAGCTAGAGAGAACAAACTGGTTACAGAACGTCCGTGGTCTCATTCCTTGGTGTCCTTTCTTTCTTCCTGCACACAAACTTACAGCACTTTTTGACTACATAGTGAGGATCAAAGTCTAGACAAGTGCTACCCATATGCTCAAATGGAGATTATGAACAATATATAAAATATGGATGTAAGATAAAGGAGGTACAGAAAATCTCTCATTTCGTTGCAATGTGCCCAGCTTTATAGTCAGGCTTAGGGACTCAATAAAATGTTCCATGTGTCATTAAGTGTCTTTTCAATTCCTTGAGGTCATAAGATATTTTTCCCTAGAGAGAGATGATCTAATGCATGGCTACAACCAGGGTACTGGGTATAGAGAAAAATCCCAGAGAAAAAGTCCTCTTCTACAAGAAAGAATTAACTATCAACACACATGCTAAAATTATTCTGACATGCTCTCTATTTAATACCGTCTTTATTTTTTTTAAAGGCATTTACTAATTGTTCATGATTGCCAGCCTATACAACTGCATTCATTTTCACTATCCATATGATTAATCATCTCACCAATAACATCAATAAATCCCCACAACTATTCCCTTCCAGAAAGTATACTGAGTTTTCAGCAGAAACTGTATACATTACACTCCTGGTGTGTTTTTGTTGTTGTTTCCATTTTGAGTAATTGGCTTAGAATATTATGTGCAGGAGAGCAGTGTTTAATTGGTTATGTGAAATTTAATATATGTCAGAATAATCGTGATGTGTAGTCTCAAACTGAAAACAACATTGAAGTACATGCTATCTTCATTCCATAATGATGAAGAAAATATCTATATTTGAATATATACAAATATTATCTACCAGCAAGACACTAAAACCATCCTAAGGGAATAGTCCCTCTCAATCTTTTGGGAGAAAATGTATCCAAGAAAATAGAAACATCACCTAATTACAAAACATCACTTAACCAGCTTTAGGCTCTTATTTTAATGCAAAATACAAACTTTAGTCATTTACTCATGTATGATTGAAGATTTATCGCATGATGATTTTATTTTAATGAAAATAATCCTCATAGAGAATGAAGATGCATCCAAAAATAGCCTTGAAGGATTATTTGAAAATAGATGTGTTGGTAGCAGGAACAAAAGTATAGTTTATGTGTAAACATCTTTTGAAAATTCCTGCATAAACAAACTTTTCTTTAGCAGCAAAATTATTGCTCCAATGCTAACTGGGCAAATAAAAATATGTAGCTTCTCTACTACAGCACTGGGTTAGCTCTTATTTCCATTCATTTACTCATATTCATGCCCCACTACCTTTTTTTTTTTAGTAAGGAATTGAGGCACATGATGATGTTGCTACATGGTATAACTATAGAATATATTTAAGATCAAGGGGTGAACGGACCTAGGTGTAAATAATTATTGGTTTGGTAGTAGGGTAGCAGGTGGACATTGGGCCTCCTCATGCGCACTCCCCTAATACAAGAGCTCCTTGCTCAGCT